GATAGGTATCTATTAACACTCTTTTCTGTTTCTTGATATCGCCTTTTCCATTTCTTCAATTTGTCAGTGACAAGGAAAAGAAGAAAAGATACTTGTTTCGCCCCAAATCGTTCAGTAACACATTATTTCCCCACCACTTCAGAACCATCTGGAGACTGAAGGTTCTCTCTCCCTAAAGTCCTGGGAGGGTCTGCTGTGAAAGCAATGGCTTAACCTTAACCTTGGAGTTTGCAAGACTTTCCACTTAGGCGTTTTACCTAAATATGAACTAGCAATACATTTTAGAAATTATTAGAAATCTCATCTGACATAGAAAAAAAATAAATTAAGATTTCTATTCATGTCTACCAAATACCAACACTTTCATGTTTCTGCATGAGTGAGAGGTTCAGATTCTGTCCAGAAGAGCATTACTCAGGTTACTGTTATTCATAACAGGCATTAGAAGGTGAATATTTATTTACAGAAGGGATATACTAAGCAGTCCAGCATCAAAGGAAAAGGACTACAGTGGATATATTTCTTCATGGCCATAATTTCTCAGGAAATATAAGGCTATGGTGGAATGTTCAACAAAAGATGTTATAGACCTCCTACACGCAACCTCAGAGAATTCTTAATTTAATCCTTTGCTCTGCGTAATATAAGGAAGTGCAAGCAGAATTTCAGGAGTGCATACTTAAAAGCATTTCTATCTCTAGCAGTACTAGAGAGAGACAGAGAAGTGTATTTTTTCAATAACAGTATAAAAATTGCAGCTTTTACCATTTCCTTAAATTCCACTTTATTTACTGATCTAACAGCAGCTTCTGCTAGAGAAATGTGGAATGAAATAGTTGTCTAGGAACTATGATTTTAACCACGTCCCGTGTTGCTGCTTTAATTATGTAAAATAGTATTAAGTAACAAACTGTTTATGCATGAAGTGGATCATGCTATCTCCTTAGCTATTCCCTCCTCCACCTCCTCAAACTCTCAACTGGAGTAACAGTGAGAGAAATACCTGTTCTAGCCCGGGAAAACGATGAATTGCATTTTTCCCATTGATCTTCCAGGCACAGAGCACTTGCTCTAAAGAACTGAATTAACAACCACAGAACCTGGAGAGAGAGCAATTCATATTCAATAATCTCCCAGGTGTGATGTTTGTAACAGCATTATACGCTCAATAACAATGGACAAAAAAGAGTACACACAGATTTGGTGTTGTCACTATTCTCAACTCCAAAATCATTACTGCTGTTCATTTGTTTCTTTTTCTAGAAGGAGGAATGTGAAAGAAACTTGCTTGTAATGTTTATTCTGTTTTCTGGAAATGGCAATGTAAGCTATGAACTATCATTTAAACCTAGCTGGTTTCACCTGACTTTTATTATAGTCTTAACACTAACTCAGATGTTTATTAAATTTAATAACAACTCACACTTTATTCTTAAGAGTCACACAAAATAACCAGTGCTGTGTGACTGTTGAAAACCTATCTGGAGAAAATATTTTTTTCTCAGTATTTCACAAGACTATGCAACATCCACATAGTTATACACTGCAGCTATACACCCTTCCAGGAGGCCATGGTCTGCCAGACACAGAGCTCTGGGCAAGTTACAGGGAATCTCAAAACCGGTTCTGAAATGTGGGGCTGAAAACACAACCCAGGGTGCCTCAGCTGGTGGCAGGGTGGGTGGGTGCTGGCGGGAAGGGTTCTGCTGGCAAGGGTCCTGCTGGGAGGTGTTCACCCAGGAAGGATCCAGCTGGGAAGGATCCAGCTGGGAAGAGTCTCACCGGGAAGGGACCCAGATGGGAAGAGGCCTACCAGGAAGGGATCCAGCCAGGAAGGGTCCTATCAGGAACGGATCTAGCCAGGAAGGGATCCAGCTGGGAAGCAACCAGCCATGAAGGGTCCTGCCAGGAGGGATCCAGCAGAGAAGGGTCCCTCCAGGAGGGGATCCAGCTGGGAGGGGACCCAGCCGTAAAGGGTCCCACCATGAAGGGATCCAGTCGGGAAGGGTCCCGCTAAGTCCCGCTGGGAAAGGGTCCAGCCGGGAGGGGTCCCGCTAAGTCCGGCTGGGAAAGGGTCCAGCCGGGAGGGATCCAGCCGGGAAGGGGCCCGGCGCCAGAAGTGGAGCTGTCCGCGGTGCTGAAAATGCGGCGATGGCCATCGCCCCCCCACACCCCACCCTGCCGCCCCAACCCCCGAGAGGGGCTCAGCTCCTCCACCGCTCGTCAACCACGTTCTAACCGGGGGAAAAGAGGAAGGAAGAAAAGCTGTTTCGTCTCACGTTGGTTACAGCAGTTTCGGCTCCTGGAAGGAATCCCTACTAGTCTTTATAAACTTCTTTTCTAACTCCTTTAAAATGCTCAGCAGGTCGGAACAGGCAAACTCTGGAGCGTGGTTTAACCAATCGGCTGTTTTCAGAGCAAAACATACGGGCAAGGTCATTTTAAGGGAAAGACTAGAGTCACCTGCTACGCTGCTAGGCACTGCCCCATAGACTTGCTTGCAGCATGGCTGTTCGGACTTCCTACCAATAAATCAAGGTCACAGACTGCTGAAAAGAACGGAAAAAAATGATTTCCATTTGCTGGCATTTTAGGTCACTAGGCATTTCTAGATATTAAATCTGCAATCAGTAATAATTACTAAACTGTCAGCTTTTTATTTTGCAATATGCTTTGTCTCACACTTTGTAGAAAAATCTACTTATATTTAGGTCAGTTTGCTTCTGTCAAGGTACCATACTGCAAGCAGAGTACATTGACCTTCTTCTGTTCTACAGAATAAATTTTATTCTCTCAATGAATTCCTGCTTATTTATGCTATACCCACTGGTACAGTCTAAGTATGCTTCAGACAAGAATTAGAAAGGAGTGTTCAAACCAATTCAAATAGCTGGTGCGAACAGTCCTCCAGGACGCAACCAACCATCTGTGGGCATGGTTCTACAGATGTGATTTATTCTACTGCACATGGTAGGGTATTCGCTTGAATTAAATATATGTGTATCTTCAGAAAACAGCCAGCTTTGAAGACTATTTTAAAAACACCACATTATCAAGGTTACTCAGTATTTCCTTTTACCTGAAGAAGATTCAGCATGTTTTTAAGTCAAAGCATTTTAAAGGTATTTCTTGTTTTCAGAAATGTAACATAAATTTATGACTGTAAATGAACATAATTTTTGCTCTGCGTGTTCTTCATCTTATTTTTAAAAAGGTTGTACTATACTCTTTCCTTCTAGCAAGCTCCTTGAAAATGAAAACTTTCTTCTCATTTTCAACAATGAAAGAGTGCCTTAAAGCTACAGCTCACTTCAGGCCCTGCCATGACTACTGCAGTTTTCAGTGTCTCTCAGACTAAAACATGGAGTATTGCTATTTTACAGGCAGTTATACTCATGTTCCGTACTATTAGGCAGCACTGAAAACTACACTAACCTTGATTAAGTCACATGATTGCATAACTCCTTCCACTCATGTAGCCAAGCATATGAGGAAATTTTTAAAAACAGTCCATTAAAAAAGCCAACCAAACCAGGAGGGTTTTTTGATTGGGTTTTTTTTCTGATCTGTAACACATTCTAAAGGGAATTAAAATCTGTAACTCTTTACCTGAAAACAACTCCAAGCGAATCTTGGAGTAACTACTTAGTATAAGCTGATGCGTACCGGGACCCAGAACTATTTGGTTACCTTGCACGTATTTTTCCATTTAAAGTTTATTGAAAATGCATTGAGGAATTCAAATGTTTACAGAGATATTTTTTTCAGTTTCGCTCTTCTCAAGCACCACTCACGGGAAGATACACCAGAGAGTAAGGTTCCCACATTGCAGCAGTACCACTTACTTAGTTTTTATACAGATAAGTAAACCTCTTCATCAGCACTCAGTGGTTTAGAGATGCTTTTTCACCAGAACACTTGTTTATTGAGTGCAATATCATTAAATAGTTCTTAATATCTGTGATATTAATGCAGAGAAACTGGGTTCTGAGCCAGGAATAGAAGTTTTGCATGTGCAAAGACTGTACCACAGGATCCAATTTGGCAAAGAGTCTTCAGTAACATCATACTTCTCTAACATCACTCTAAGTAGGAGACTATGGCACTGTTTCACATGGAAACTACAGCACTCATTTGCACAGAAGCAGAGTACTACAAAATTTTGGATTTTTTTTTTACTGATTGGTACCAGTGAAAAATTCTTCTTTGCCCTTGAAAGTGGTCATTTCAGCTTGTAGCTCAGGGTATCTCTAATCTGAAAAAGCAAAAGCACTGGTGTATTTATGAATAAGGTATTTTTCCTTTCAAAACTTTGTAATCTGTCTGGTTTATGATCCAGTTAAGCTGAAATGCCACATTCTAACTACAGCTGAAATTAGAACCAAGTCCCTCAGACTGAACCTGTGATGCTATTTGTAAGACTTATTCTACAGCTTTGATCACTCCCATCCTCCTACCTTTAACCCTACCTTTCTTGACAGTTTTCCTCACTCACATGCCTAGTGGCTGTGTGGAATGAAATAAAACAAGTCAAACATAAGTCTTTCCCCTCTACTTAAACATTCTGCTAGAGTACGCTCATATCTGAGACAGCACGGTGAAGATTACATACCTCGCAGAGCGAAGACAATTAACCTTGCCATCAAGAGAAAACACACAGTGCAAAATTTAGACTGTTGCTGTACATCTGCTACAGAGGATGCCAAGCATGTCACCGAGAGAGTGTGTTAAAACCCCAGGGCTAAATGATCCTGTAGTGTACCTGCAGGCATCAGTCCCTTACAGTCAGAGCTTCCTGGCGCATCTGTGCACGCCATGGTTTCCTCTAGGGCTGAGGTCCATTCACCAACTTCAGCTGGCATGCAGAGATCCCTTTTGCTTTCCACACCAGTGGGAAGTGCCAAGCACCTACCACCACATCGCCCCAAGACAAACCACCTCTCACCATCAGCTACCCAGCAACGCTTCACCGACCCCCCCACCACCACAGAACACTTTACCTGGATTTCCCTTGCGTGGTACACGATGATGAGCCCGAGCAGGATGATCGTGGAGAGACTAATAAGGCATTTCAGAGCGAGGGAATACAGCGACTCCTGCAAGAGAAAGAGACCGCCATCTCTCAAAGACTCCCGGGCAAGGGGCCGCTCCCGCGCCACCGCCACCCCT